AGATTCCATGTATAAGTGAAATCACAGTATTTATCTTTCTCCGTCTGACTTATTTCACTTAGCATAATACCCTTTAGAATTGTCCATGTTTTCACAAATGGCAAGATTCCATTCTTTTTTGTGTATGTATACATCTTTATCCCTTCATCGATTGATGGACATAGGTTGCTTCCATATCTTGGCATTATAAATAACACTACAATGGACATAGGAGTGTATATATCGTTTTGAATTAGTGGTTTCATTTTCTTTGGATAAATACCTAGAAGTGGAATTGTTGTAACGTATGGTAGTTCTATATTTAATTTTTTGAGGAACCTTCATACTCTTTTCCAGAGTGGTTGAACCATTTTGCATTCCCACCAACAGGGCACAAGGGTTCCTTTTCTCCATATGCTTGCCAACACTTGTTATTTCATGTCTTTTTGAGCACACCTATTCTAATGGGTGTGAGGTGATATCTCTTTGTGGTTTTGGTTTGTGTTTCCCTGAGGATTAGTGATATTGAGTATCATTTCATGTGTCTGTTGGCCATTTTATGTCTTCTTTGGAGAAATGTCTATTTAGTCCCTTTGCCCATTTTTAAATTGGATTTTTTGGTATTGAATTAGGTGAGTTCTTTATACATTTTTGATATTAACCCCTTATTTGTTATATCTTTTGCAGATTATCTTCTCCCATTCAGTAGGTTGCCTTTTTATTTTGTTGATGGTTCCCTTTGCTCTGCAAGAGTTTTTTAAAGATTTTTATTTATTTATTTAACAGAGATAGCACAAGTAGGCAGAGCGGCAGACAGAGGGAGAAGCAGCCTCCCCGCCGAGCAGGGAGCCCGATGCGGGGCTCAATCCCAGGACCCTGGGACCATGACCCGAGCCGAAGGCAGCTGCCCAACTGACTGAGCCACCCAGGCGCCCCTGCAAAAGCTTTTTAGTTTGGTCTAGTTACATTTATTTATTTTTACTTTTGTTGCCCTTGCCTGAGGAGACTGATACAAAAAATATATATTGCACAGACTAATTTCCAAGAGCTTACTGCCCATGTTTTCTTCTAGTTTCATGGTTTCCAGTCTTCCATTTAAGTCTTTCATCCATTTTGAGTTTACTTTTGTATATGGTGTAAGAAAATGGTCCAAAAAAAAAAAAGTGTTTCAGTTTAATTCTTTTGTGTATAGTTGCCCAGTTTTCCCAATACCATTTATTGAAGAAACTGTCTTAATAATTTTGGGCTTTTATTTCAGTATTTGGATTTCTGTATTTGGATTTTGCTAAAAAGCACAGCCTTCCTTCCTGAAATACAGAAGTCATTCAACTCATTGAATTTAATGAGAGAAATTCTAACTGCTCATTCAGTATCAGTCTTCAGTAGCAAGCTCTTTGAAGGCAGGGTATGGATACAACAGTGTATTGCTATATTCCTACCTACTACAACAACTGGAACAAATGAGTGTCCATGTTTATTGAATGAATGCATGAAAATGGACCTGAGGCTTTTAAAATATTGCTGGAGGGCGCCTGGGTGGCTCAGTTGGTTAAGCGACTGCCTTCGGCTCAGGTCATGATCCTGGAGTCCCGGGATCGAGTCCCGCATCGGGCTCCCTGCTCGGCAGGGAGCCTGCTTCTGCCTCTGACCCTCCCCTCTCTCATGTGCTCTCTCTCTCTCATTCTCTCTGTCTCAAATAAATAAATAAATAAAAATCTTTAAAAAAAAATATTGCTGGAAAGTATTAGGCTTATTTTTCTCACTGATTAGTTGTGTGACCCCTGGTTAGTAACTTCATCTCCTCAGTCTTCTTTTAGAGTAAAAGATTTGGATAAAAATCCAAAATACTTCCAAGTTTTATTTTATTTCATGTTTTATTTTTTTGTAAGTGATTCATACCTTTTGGTTCAACAGTTCCACTTAAAGATTGTATCTTGAATTTACAAAAATTACATAGGAATATTTGTCATAGCATACAGTAAAAATAAATAATTGTTATCCCATTATCAGTAGGGAATTATTTTAATCAATTATGGAGAACTATGCATTTGTTAAGAAAAAGGATATAGATTTATTTGTTGTCATGGAAAGTTGCCCATGATAAGTCAACTGCAAAAAATTTATTTCATTTTTATATGAAGAAGTGAAATGGATATGTGTTTGACTCGTCATGCACATATGCATAGAAAAATTTCTGAAAGTATACAACAATATACTTATCAGTGTTTTTCTCTTCATGGATGGTATTAGCAGATTATATTTATTTCTTTTTATTCTTTTTTATTTTTAATTGTGGTAAAATATAAAATTTACCATCATATCACTTTTTAAAGATTTTATTGATTTATTTGAGAGAGAGAGAGAGAGAGAGAGAGAGACAGAGCGCGGAGTCGGGGAGGGGCCAAGGGAGAAGGAGAAGCAGACTCCCCACTGAGCAGGGAGCCAGACCCCAGGGCTTGATCCCAGGACTCTGGGATTGTGACCTGAATTGAAAGCAGATGCTTAACTGACTGAGCCACCCAGGTAATCCTCACTTTTTTTTTTTTTAAAGATTTATTTTATTTTTAAGCTTTAGTTTAAGAGAGAGAGGGGAGGGAGTGCACATGGGTTGGGGGGGGAATGAGAGAGAAGGAGAGTGAGTCTTAAGTATACTCCGCACTGAGCACAAGGCCCAACGTGGGGCGCGATCTCACGACCCATGAGATCAGGACCTGAGCCAAGACAAGAGTCTGATGCTTAACTGACTGCACCACCCAGGGACCCTATCATTGTATCACTTTTAAATGTTTAGTAGTGTTCTGCACATTCACCATTTTAGAACTCTTTTTATCTTGCAAAACTGGAACTGTACCCATTAAGCAACAACTCTCCACGCTACCCCTTTTCCAGTCCCTGGACATCACCTTTCAATTTTCTGTCTCTATGAATTTGACTACTCCAGGTACCTCATATAAGTGGAATGATACAGTATTTGTCTATTTGTGATTGGCTTATTTTACTTAGCATAATGTCTCCAAAGTTTATCCATGTTGTAGCATGGGTAAGAAGTTTCTTCCTTTTTAAGACTGGATAATACTCCATTGTATTTGTAACCACATTTGGTTGATCCATTTATCTGTCTATGGACACTTGGGTTGCTTCCATCTCTTGGCTATTGTGAATAATGCTGCTATAAACATGGGTCTACAAATATCTCTTTAAAACCCTCTTTCAATTCTTTTGGGTATATACCTAGAAATGGAATTGCTGGTAACTCTTTTTAATTTTTTTAAGGAGCCAACATATTGTTTTCCATAGGATCTGTACAATTTTATACTCCCACTGACAGTGTACCAGGGTTCCACTTTCTCTCCAACACTTGTTATTTTCTGGTTTTTTGGTTTTGTTTGTTTTTGATAGTAGCCACCCTAATGAGTTTGAGATGATTCTGTATTATTTTTTTTTCTGATGAATTTTGCTATTAATTACTTTTTACACTAAGAGTGAACTACAAAGGTATTTCCATTTTGTAAAAATTGCATGAATTAACAACCTTTTATTTTTTAGTATTTATCCAGTATTGTTTTCTATTACAGCAGGTACTACGTTTATGTCAGATGCAGTAGTAAATTATTATTATTATTATTTTTAAAGATTTTATTTATTTGAGAGAGAGAATGAGATAGAGCATGAGAAGGGGGAGGGTCAGAGGGAGAAGCAGACTCCCCGCTGAGCAGGGAGCCCTATGCGGGACTCGATCCCAGGACTCCAGGATCATGACCTGAGCCGAAGGCAGTCGCTTAACCAACTGAGCCACCCAGGCGCCCACAGTAGTAAATTATTTATTGGGATATTAGGGTTGATTACTACGATAAATTAGAAGCTTGATGCTGAAGGGTGGTTTGAATTTTTAGTAAAGCACTGTGAGTATCATAGTAAATATCTTAAAATTGTTTTTAAGCAGTAAAAAGTGGAAAACCAAGAATTTTTATTCTTAGTAAATATTAACTGCTAATTTTTTTGATAGAATATTTTTGCTCAGCTTTTATTGACTAAACTTATGTTTACCAGTGTCATTTTAAAAAACAATTTAATCTATAATTTATCATAAAATTAATCTGCTTTATGTGCACAACTCAATGATTTTTAGTAAATGTACTGAGTTGTGCAGCCATCATCATAATCCAGTTTAGAACATTTCTATCGCCCCAGTAAGATTCCTTGTTACCAGAACCCTTCTGGCTATATAGAATTGTTAACAAAAGATTTCTTATAACAGGCTATATTTATTGCTGCTCTTAAATGAATCCAAATGTCTTTTATCCCCCATAGCCTCCTGCATGAAATATATACATCATCAAATAGGTAAATTTTATTTAGGGGACTATATGATTATACACATGAAATGTATTTAAATTTGTACAACTTTTAGGAAGGAAAATCTTGCATCAGAGAAAAAAAATTCTTTCGTGTTTATTTTAGAGAGTCCCAATTAAACATTTTTCTGTTTGACTTTAGTTTTTGATCTTTTACAGCTGGTTTATTTTCAGTAGATCACAGTAGAAAAGATTGACAAGCTAATGAAAAACCTTTTAATTATTTGCTGCTCATAGACATCAAAACCTTTCTAGGCAAGTCATGTTTATAGATAATTAAAATGAAAAAGAACTAAATAGAACAGTTTATCATTAATAGAGTAATAAATGCAGTCATTGGCAAACTTGGTATTTTCCTTCTACTTCACCAGAGGGCACTCTTTTCTAGTCTATTTTAACTCTGATCTATTGAATTATTATACTTTGAAAGATTTAAGTCCTTTATTGGGATCCAGGTTTTGATTATTTAAAGACTAATGATTGTTTTCTTTTGTAACTTTCAGTCCTTTTTTTGCAATCTGTTGTATAATAGTATTAAAAAGGATACTATAAACAAGCCATTCTTAAATGCTGAAGGTGGTAGTGTATCTGGCATAAAATATCTCTTCAATATGTTCTCTTTTTGCCTAACAGCTCTGTAATGTCACCATTTCTGTCCATGTTAAGGTTTCAGATCGGGTGGAACGACGGCTTCAGGAAATAGAAAGAGAGATGCGCACAGAAAGAGAGCTGGTGGAGAAACGTCAGGATCAGCTGGGACTTATTTCTTTACAGCTACAGGAGGTTTGTGAAAAATACCTTCCAGAATGTAAATCTTGAGTTCGGATAGTTCAGATAGTTATTTAGCCATTGTTAAAATGGTTAGAGTTCCTTGGTTGTTGCATATATATTTCAGTCCGTCTGAGAAGTATAGCGTATAGGTTATCTAGTTCAGTGTGTGAAGACAGCCCTACCTGGATCAAACCCAAAGTCTACTGCTTGCTGGCTGTGTGACCTTGGGCAAGTTCCTTTGCTTTTCTAGGCCCATTTCCTCTGTGAAAAACAGAAATAGTATTTACCTAATCATGTTAGTGTGAGGATAAATGAGTTAATGCTTATAAACCACTAAATACAGTATCTGGCATGTGCTCAAAAATGTTAACTGAAAGTGTGATTACTCTGATCAATTTTCCTTGGCATGAACTAGACCAGAGGTCAACAAACTATGGCCACTGGGCCAAATGTGGCCCATTGCCTATTTTTGTAAATAAAGTTTTATTGGAACATAGCCATTCCATTCATTTACTGTTTGTGGGTGGTTTTTTGAAACTGGCAGCATTGAGAAGTTGTAAAAGAGACCGTATGACCCACAAAGCCTGTCTGGCTCTTTTAGAGAAAGTTTGCCAACCCCTGGACTAGACTATGGTCATACCATTCCAAAATTGAGATCACTTACCTTTTAGGTACCTTTTTTATTTTGAAATTTCAGACTCAGGAGGAAGTTGAAAAATTAGAATAAAGGATTTCTGTATGCCTTTTACCTAGATTCCTCCAATATTCACATTTTATATCTATATAATAATAATAATAATAATAATAATAATAATGTATAACAGTTATTATATATTACATATATATAATTTTTTTTGAGCTAGTTGCAGACGTGATATAAATACTTTTACACCTAAATAATATGGTGTGTATGTTCTCTTCCATAATCACAGGAAATTAACATTGGATCAGTACTATGATATAATCTATAGTTTTTATTCACATTTTGTCACTAACATCCTTTTCTGGTCCAGGATATAATACAGGGTCACATATTGCATTTGACCATCACGTCTCTTTAGTCTCCTTTGATCTGGAACAGTTTTTCAGCAGAATACTGGCCAGTTATTTTGTAGAAATCTTGCATTTTGGTTTGTTGATGTTGTCTCATGACTAAATTTACATTATAGACTTTTGGCAGGAAACCCAGAGAATTGGTGTTGCATTCTTCCCCAGATATCTTATTAGGAGGACTATCTTATTAGGAGCCATTTGTCCCATTACTGGTGAAAACTGAACATTTGGTTAGGGTGTTGTCTGCCAGGTTTCTCCACTGTAAATTTTACTATTATGCTTTTTTAAATATTTATTTTATGTGGAGATTCTTTGAAACTTGAAAATAGCTTATTATTGTATTTTCATCCACAGATTTTAGCATGCATTAATATTCTTTCATGAAACAATTATTACTATAGGTGATGCTAAATCGTGATTTTTTTTTTTACACATTCCATCACTTCTGCATTTATTAATTAGATTCCTACTGTGAGGAAAGACTTTGCTTTTTCCTTTAATTAATTAATGTTGGTGTAGATTTGTGAATTTCATTGTGTTACATTAGTTATATTTTATTACTATCATTATAGAAAATTAATTTGTTGAATTTCCCTTTAAATGTCTTAGATTTATACGTAAAGTATAAAAATTAAAAAGATTTTAAAAAGGATTTCTTTTTCTTTTACAAAATGATTTTCTCTAAAAGTGGTGCTCTAAAAATGCACTTATGTGTGCTTGAAGATCATTGACCCTTATAAATTGATGGATTAAAATTTTTTTTTCATTATTAGACACTGCCAATTGAAAATTAGAAAAAATGGCAACCCTGAAATTATAATGTAAGCAATAGAAAATCTACTTTTGTTTTCTAAAATTCCATTTTCCTCCATTTCACAAAAGGAGGCATACCCTTGTTAGTTGGTAATTACTTTGAAGGGGATACTTTGTTGAATAATTAGATATAGCATGTGGGTAGCCTTTTTTTTTTCTTTAAACCTTGATTTTTATACATTTGTTCTCAAAGCAAATTGCATCTGGTGAGCATAAGAATAGACAATTGTTCTTTTTTGCAAGAGAAAATTAGAGAAATTTTCCGTACTTATTTTCTTCTTTGCAGAATGCACAAAATTACAAAGAGGGAGAGGAAGATTGCTTCCCACCCCTATTATTGAGAAACCAGAGCCTGAATATTTGCATTGTAATTGTCAATTTGACTAAAAGCTTGAGCTGTGATTTGGAATTCCATCTCTGACAATACAGTAGAGGATCACTATTGATAAGAAATGTTTAATTTCATATTTTGTCACTTTAATATAAGTGGTGACCTATACGCTTTTAAAAGGTGGTTTTTGGATTAAACAGTGCAGTGGAAGCTGGAAAGGATTAATTTAGGCTGTTATGTTTTCCTACTCCTAAGTTAAGTGGCTTAGGCTGTTCTGGAAAGGTCATGTTTAAGGAGAGGAAACACTTTGCTTTCTTTTCAATATTAAAAAATACTTTTGCAAAGACCTATACTGTATGATGATAGTAATTGATATATTTTGTTTCTGGCTATGGTGAGGAAAATGAATCTATAGGTGAGTAAGGAGATCTGGACTTTCAGCCACTGTGCTCCTCTGCCTCCCTAAAATGTATAATTCAATGTTAGTGAAAATTACGACATTTAAAAATTGTTAAGAGATTAGGAGTATTCATTAAAAATTCCAATGTCAGATTTCTAGGTATAATGTCATGGGGAGGCAATATGTACTTTTGACTAAAACCTGCTTTTTTTTAGTGATCTAATGAGGTCCTTAGGTCCTTGGAGCTTTATCTGTTCCCATTTAATGAAAAACACAGTATTAATGATTGGAAATTGGTTGAAGAACAGCCACTCTCCTCTTCTTGTTTAGAGGTCTTAAGGAATTGTTCACTCTTTAATGTGTTTGTGTTTTTTCCCCCCTCTTGGTCTAAGCAGGAGGGCTGTAGATGCTCTGGAATCTGCTTCCTTTATTGAGTCTCAACTATTCATGTGCTACTGATAAATGCTGGATGCATATTTGTATATGCCTTTCAGAACATTGCATAGCATATTAAAGTGCTAGTTCTCCCACTTACCCCCACAAAAAAATATTCCATGCTTGCCAGTGATCTAGGGTGAATCAGGTGCCTCAAGGTTTAAAAGAACTTCATGGAGAAGTCTATGGGGAAGGTGAAGAATGGAATCTTAATTGAAGATGGTGAAGATTAGTGGGTAATTGTTAAGTGTAAGATGGGAGCTCAGCTCAATGGTTTTCAGTCTGTACATCTATGAGAAACCAGATTATGTGAGCCTCATCAATAATGTTAAAGCCTATACAGAAAAGTTAAAGTGATTGATAGATGTTTTTTCCTATATTTTTCTTCCATCTTTTGGCATCTGTACCAATTGCGAAAAACCTAATGAAGAAATAGCTATTTGTTCCTTCCCAGAAATGTCACTGTGGCTCCAGAGATGCTGAGTAATATGGATACTTCACCTAAGAAAAGCCTTGGGTACAGTTTATAAATGTATTTAGTTTGGACTCATTAAGGGAGAAGCTTCTAAGGAAGCCAAGAATGTTTTCCTAATGTCCTCTTAATAGCTTTAGCATCTCCCTTGAAATTTCTGTGTCAATTCAGAGGAGAATCTAGTCAGGCAAATGTTCTAAGGTGGCCTCATTAACCCCTTCCTGTTAAGACTCTCCTACTTGGTTTGGATTGACAAGGAGACCTTTCTGAGGCTGGTACATTTTTGGACTTCACTTACTTTTCCAAGGCTGAATTGTATAACTTTTGCTTGGCACTTTACCCTCCTGTTTCCATAGTCAGTGCCCCGACATTGTCACATATTTATTTCATAGTACGACATTTTCACATATTTATTTCATAGTACAAGCATCCTCTTCCCCACTGATGTTACTTGATGCCTTTTATATAAATGCCCATTAAATCACTCTGACATTGACCAGCCCAACAGCTTCCCTGGGCTTTGAGAAAGACCAGTAGAATATACAAGTCAATGGGAGTTTAAAATACAAGCTCCATGGAAAGCATGAGGAAGGCCCAGAAGATGCACCTTATTTTCCCAATCCTTGGGACATGAGCTCTAGAATGCGGTTCTTTTCAGGCCCAGGTGACCAGGTGGGATGTAGTAAGCACCGAGTAACACAGTAAGGGTGACAGGCAGGACCCTCAGACTACCAACAGCCTGAAAGCAGAGTATCACAACAGGACAATTACACATATACTATTTTGTAGGAAAATGTGTGTAGCTGGGGAAAATCCTAGAACTCCTGCTCTAGTGTTTATTCTTCATGGGGTGGAGCTATATGTGTAGGGTAAGTCTGAGCCTTATTTTAAGTCCTGGTTTTTATTTTTTTAATAAACCCTAATCCCATTGACTATTTTTCTCCTTTTGCAGCGATGGCTTTTTTTCTCCTCACTATTCTGTTTCTAGTGATCTATTTTACATGAGGTTTTTGTGCCAGGTTATTACTAATTACTATTTCCTGATATTTAATTGTACTCATTTTGAGCATTTTGCATTTTTAACGTTTGACATAGTATGCACTTAATAAATATTTGTCAAATGCATTAAGTAGTGACCATATTCATACACTGTTTTGATCCACTGTTTTAGTTTATTTCTCACATAATTCTTTTAACATTTTTATTATTTAGTATGAAAAGTATTTAATCATATATAATTTAAATAAATGTATAACTAAATAATGTGATCATATCATAAATGTTCATTCATTCTCTTTTTAATTCAGCTTTTGTTTATTTGCTTGGCCCATTTTTTCCCCCGCTTATGTATTCTCTGATCATCAACCATTAACCCCACTCTCTAAGAAAAAGGAGCCAGTGTGAACAGCCTGGGAGAGATCCCTTTATATTTTCCTTAATTATTACTCTTAATTATCCTAGACAGATGTATATGGACCATATATACCTTTGCATATATAGGACTTTTT